CCATAGGCTATACGAGACCACATAATACCCATCATTCCTGCTCTGCGTCAGCTACGACACGAATCACAAAGGTTTATTTCTTGAACAAAATACTCTCGGGATTAAATAATAGACACAGAAATAATCAATTCGATGGATTAGCACGTCCACCACATGAGTATCAAAATCCACGCATATAGATTTTATCCGTCAGCAGTGAAATCAAGTCGTGTTTAACACACTCACCCACATGCAATTACACCTACACATCACTTTTTCTCACTTCTATGCCCGCAATAAACACGACAATATAACAAAACCGGAGAAATCGTCAACAACATTGTGAAACAAATAAAACAACCACAGAGTGACGAATTTCCAAAAACAGCAGCACGCAAAGAGTTCAGAGAAGGGTTTATGCATCATTCTCCTCACCGTCTGACGCTCCTTCATCATCCACCTGAAACTATACTCCAATTACAACGAGCTTTGCCTTCAATCAAAACATTCTTTAAATTTTGTTTATTTCCTATGTTTTACGCCGAACGCATGGGCGGAGTCACTCGGGATTGTTGCGCCCTTTACAGTGACGCCTCTCCTTTTGGGATGGCAAGGATATGGAAGCATCAGTGGGTAAACGTGCAATGGATCAAGTGACTCAACCCATCCGAATAGCGTGGTGTGTGCCTTAAGTGCCCTTGATCAGTTACCATGTAACTATAGACTAAAGGTCAAAAAAGAAGTGCAGTCATGAAAAACAGAATTATACTAAACAATCAGAAATGAACTTTTACCAATCTATAATTACTTATCTCCCTAAAACAAGGTTTTCTTCTGGGAGCTATAGGCGCAGGGCAAAATTCCTTGAGAGATCCCTCTTTTATACAGTTCCAAAATAAGACCAGAAGCCGTTTGTTGTTCGGCCATTTGTATTGTTTTAGCCGTTTTAATCTCAAAAAGTGAAAAATGCTTATCCATCCATCATCTGGAATGATCCAGTCCCCTCAATCCGGGTCGCACGGCCTCTATGGAGCAGACCGCGCGCGGTGGTCACTGAATAACCGCCGAGACTTGCTTTACATATGAGTGAGCTACAGTTGCGGTCAAAAGTGTTCGCCGGAACGGTTTTTCCTGCAATATTTGTGACCGATTCCGTTCAGATACTGATATGTAGAAACCTTATGAACTTCTTCAAAAGAAACAACTGTAACGCCCGAGAAAGCGTTTCGGCTCACATTTTTGACCGCTACTGTATTTATATAATTAGCATAGAAGGTTTCGTAAAATATCTTTCAATGATTTTATATACGCAGTTTCTAATGGACTTTTAAACTTGTTCAATGCAACTTTCAGCTTCTGGAAAAAAATTCCGAAATTTTCGTCAAACCAATGTATTATTATTATAATAGTATTATTATTATAGCACCAGTAAAAAATGATGTTCAGATCGAACTAGAGAATATTAAAAAGTTGCCGTGACTAGAACCATCTAGCTTTGCTGTGATGGTGCCTATGATGCGTAAGCTGAGCAAGCGGTGATGGTCGCTTGATCTGTCGAAGGAAACACACGCCTACCGTTTCTCTTTCATTTTATTATGCAGACCTTTTCACTGAAACAACGTAAAATAATGCTCAGTGTTCTGGACAGGACATGGACTCAGCCAAGCAGCCCGACGTTCAGAGTACTACGTGCCGTCGGTCAATAAGAACGTTCTTGCCTTGAGCACTACGCCCTAAGAATATGCATAGAAAAAGAGAAATGTATAAAACCTCCTGGGAATGTTAGTTACTTTGTGCAACAAGGTTGTTTATACGTCTCAAATTCTGACCAATCATTTCAGCATGGATTGAAACTTTATAGAACGGCGAGCTACATCCGGAAGTAATGATAGAAGCCGAGTCATCGAATAGGAAAGAAAAAAGTTTACAAAGTGGCCAGGTTAGCCAGGTTGGTACTTTTTCGAGATAGCCAGGTTGGTGCTTTTTCAAAAATGCGTCACAAAAACGCATGATTCTATGCGATCAATTTGCTTCAGCATTTCCCTCACAAACCGAAGTGTACCCATTGACATAGACCATAATGAGGTCAGAACGCTTTGACACTGTTGGTTTCGAATGCTACGGAGTAAAAAGTAATCTGCAGGCCGGGTACAAAAAATCTCAAGCGGTGAAGCGCACTCTTCAAATGGGCTGAATTTGCTTAAAAAAATTCGCAGACAACTACCAGTACTTGGTCAAAGAAAAAACCCTAAGAAACATATATGTGAGCAAACTATTACTTCCAGTGCGACCCTTCTGACCTGCCGCATAAATGCGGCCTACTAACCAAGTTCCTTGCAAAACACCTTGTTCAAGAGTGATATACTTGTCCTCTCCGGTTGCGGGAAGGATTCGCAGTGTCCTACAAGATTTTTAGAAGTATAACAATGTCGAAGTAAACGAGTAAAGCAAGAAGATATTCACACTGCGGTTCTGTGAACGTGACAACTTACAGCAATTCATATATGCCGATGCGGGGGTAAAACTGGAAACAACCTCCTAGATCATTTGAAGCTTTGGCTCGACTCTCTCTCTCTCTCCGAAATCGAAATGCATTTCCTTTACAAAGGCTCGAAGTGGATCCACAAGGAATCACTTTTCAGAAAGGGACCGCGGCGATTAAAAGCTTTTTATGTGCGAATAGATAAGCTTCATGCAATCCTCAGCAATTTAACAAGCAGAACTTGCTGAGATGGCTTATGCAATTCGACCCAAACCCGCCGAGGATCTATGGCTGTCAATGATAGAAGAATGACTCGATTTATACCGCATTAGACCTCGACATTTGTGGATAATAAGTATTTTTTTGACCTTTTGAAGATACCATCACTCTCATAAGAAGGTGAATTGTATTCCAAAAAACATTAGTATGCGTCATTAAATTACTTCTTTCGCAACCGGGCAGACGACTGTGGCTGGCCGACAGAAAATAGAACTTCATCACTAAAAGCTGTCTCGAATCGTTGATCATTTATACGAAGTTATACGATTTAGAAAGGACAGGCTCGGCTCCCCCACTTTCTTCACGATTTGGGGCGCGGCCGCGGCGAGCGCGGACGAGTTGGTAGTGCCCGCGAACTGTGCGGGTAGGTTTGAAAACGGTCCATTAGCACAGTTCGCGGGCACTATCGACTCGTCCGCGCTCGCCGCGGCCGCGCCCCAAATCGTGAAGAAAGTGGGGAGCCGAATAATCTCACATATAAATTTTACATGGTAGGCAGTTCCTTTTCGTGTTATATGAGAAATAAAGTTCGGCTATCACAAACAAAAAGCTTTATAGATACTTTGGATATAAGCGGATTACCAGCAGACGCCCGTCTGAGGCCGACTGCAAAGAGAAAACAGACATTTTCGAGATTCGGGGTTTCCTTGCTATCGAGAAAACCTCTCAGGCATTTTCCATAGTGATTCTCCTATGCTACCCGACCGAAGGAATTTCATTTCTTTCCCCAAACCTATTGAATCTCTGGAAAATGTGCCCCAGTTATATTTCACCTCGAGCAATAATACTAGTTTGGTTAAAAGCCACCAGCACCTTGCCACAACATTCATCAAATTTTAAAAAAAATGATTTTGAACCAAGTTTCATACGCATTTGTTTCCCCTTGACATTACTAACACTTTTTACCACTTACAAATATCGACATCCTGATTTACACCGACTGTGGAAACCTTACCTAGGGCACTTCTATGCAATGACTCAATACGAATTCACTATGAGCATGTAAACTATGTATAAATTTCTAGACAGTATGAATTGAACAAAAAGGTCAAAAAGTCACATACTTCCTCCAGACCCTCTTCATCGTCGATAAGTTCTTCAAAGTCATCACCAGTTTCTTCCATTTCCGGCAAAAGGTAGTACTGCAGGGGGTTGGGCCACATATCGTCTTTGATCACCTAAATAACAATGCTCAATGGACAAAACGGACAGTTCAATGGGCAAAATGTAAACAAAAAAGATAAGATGCTGAGATTCCGCTGTAACTTCTACCTCAGCTATATCGTCGTGTGCTGGGTCAACGTTTTCTGACAACCACTCGAAGAATGACAGCGGAGATGAGGAGTCGCCTTTCTGGAATCATTTCAAAATGGTCGTAAGATTGTGAAATCAAAAAGCCATGAATAGGAAAGAAATGTTACCTTGCCCAAATTCTTGCCCTCTTTCCACCGTATGGTGGTGCCTGTGGTTGATGGTGTGTCTCCAAGATTGTACTCTTTTTCTATTTTTTCGTTCTCGAAGAATTCATTGGGCGTGAAAAAGAAGCGTAAACGGAAGCCACTCTTTATATCGTCGAATTCGTCAACCTAGATGATGCAAGTGTTAGCAGAAAAATTAAAAGAGGTTGATAACAAAAGGAATGAAACATGAGTAGTCCCACCTCTATATTGCTGAGATGTGTCAGGGCTTGTTCTTCGCTTTCATCAATTATGGACGACAGTTGAGGATGGTTTAGAAACTAAATAAGTACAATGGCTTGAAAATGCATAAAAGCTTGACCCTTCTGACTTGACTGGGGTCATCAAAAACCAAAAAACCCAAACTTACAGCAGTACACCAAAAATTGGGAATTTTCTTAATCATCTCACATCGCTTCTCGTACTGGGGACGACGCAACAAATTGTACTTCTGCTCGACCTAAAACAAACCAAACCATCCTTGATGCAAGTAACTAATTTGCAATATGGAATAGGAAACAGGGATGTATCACAATTCAATCAATCAACATTGAAATAGTTGATCAAAAGTGATATACACATTTAATAGAAAATCCTAATTTGAGGGTATAAGCCTTGCAAAATCAGATGAAAACATGTCCACTCCCAGTACTGTCCATCTTAAAATGTGCTTTGAACGAGTGAATCACTACAAGTTCCACTTTCTAATGGATTCAAAGGGACAGCTTAAGAGCCGAAAGATAAATAGCAGTAGTCCACTCCCTCTCGAGCTATATTTCCTCGCTTCGACAGTTCCAAAATACCTACATCAAACCAACTCGGTACCATAAGAATGCTGAATTGTGGGCAAAACGCCCCAGTCGTGATTCATACCCGGAGAACTCAGCACTCTTGAGATAACTTTCGCAACGCGATTTGCGGCGTAAAACAGCAGTTATCCAACTTGGAACCTATTTCATACCAACTCTGCATCAATCAGCGATAGCGGCTTTTGTAAGCAAGAAAGTCAATAGCGATCGGCCCGAAGGGTTTTTAGAGCCAAACATAACGTTGCATATAATGCAACCTTAGACGAAAAAAAATTGATACAAACTAGATGAGATCTCAGCGCCGAGCGCTCTAAAGGATTATGGCCTTTAAGAAATCTCGGTTTGTTTTAATACCGGAATTTTTCTTTCAGTACGCCGAATCAGCAAACTTATAGATTTAAGACAGGAACACATCCACCCTTACTTGCGCACATTTTAAGAAAGACGTTTGTAATTCATACGAAGGAGCGATCGCAATCGTGGAACTGGCAATGTGATTTTGGTAAGAACGGAATGAAATTCATTTTTGAGAATTTTCACAATTTACCATATTTCGAAAATTTTCTAGAATTTCTTCCTTTCTTAGTTACATACATACCATACCCCCTCTTACCGATCACCGTCGACGGGCTTTCTGACGATGGAAAGTAGTTGTACAGAGAACTAGGCACACTTGGGCAATCTTCTTAGTTGTAAGGAGGACTAGGTACACTTCAATCTTCCTATTATGACCCAGAGGAACAATGCGTATAAAGATTCCCCAGGGAAAAAAAGGAATGGGGGGGGGGGGTGGTGATTGCGATGATTGTGTCTGAATAGATGTGCAATATCAGAACTAGAATCCACCCTCCCATTCTTTACAAAGGCTTTCAAAGAAACACGAGCCTGCAGCGAGATCAAAGCAAGTAATTCAGACATGTTCACTAACGGAAAGCTTTCATATCACGGGAAATATCGAAAGTGTTTTTCATAATAAAAGAATACCCCCTTACAAGTGGAATTTCGAGATATTGGTGTCAGCTTAAAACAAACATTCCATGATCGTGGTGTGATGAACAACTGTCATACAGCTGTTGTTCACAACAGTTACAAGGCCTTGTCCTCCCACTGTCGTCAAAACAAAATTGTGAAAAACCGCAGAACCCCTCCCATACCATCACTTCAACTTCAATGGTTTGAAAGAGAATTTTTGAATTAAACGCCTAGGTTCAATGTTTTTTCAATGGAGATCTTTAATAAATTGTAGGTCTTTCCTATAGCTGCTTGAATTCCTAAGCAATTAGGTACAATTATATGGAACATTTACCAGTTATGATTTTCTTTTTCTGCAAACGAATGGGTAAAACAGGGTGAAACTCCAGTTGGGGTGGGGGCACTAACTGTTATCTTATCCGTAATACTATAGAACACTAATTTGGACTTTATCCCTACGGATAATATAAAAGGAACAACTCATTTCAAGTGTACTTTTGATAAGGACCGGTGTTGGCCCTACATTACGCACATCCT